ACTGCTATTTGAATGTAATTGCACATGGAACAGTTCTTGCTGCAGCTGGCACAGTTTTACCATGGAATGAGGCCATAAACAAGAAAAATCTGTATTAAAGGGTATCTATGGTCAAAAACTAAAAATGTACTCCTAATAACCATATTGATCTAGAGGTTTGTAAGCTATCTTATTGCAGATGCACATAGGATGTACTTATTCAATGTACTGACACAATTTCACTCAGCCCTGTGAATATGCACTTCTTTGCAGAGCCCGCCTTCTGAAATACCACTCAGCATCTAAACAATGTAACATTATCATTGCTTGCTGCAAGCAATGCATTATGGTATATGTAGTCTTGAGAAATCAAGATTGCATCACAACAAACATCAGGGAAAGAGATGCAAAGCATTATCAAAAACAACTCTAGTATGTATTCCTATTACAATGATGATCTTATAACAGGATAGTATATGGTTTGACTTGAGAACTCCTGTAACATTGGACTTCTGGGAAAGAATGCCCAGGGAAGCTTATATTCATAGGTCCAACACTGAACAGTGATATCTTCTACTAGGCTCTGTCATGTGACATCACAGGTCACATGGACTAGCTCACGGAAAAGCATACACACTCAGGTCCACCTGCCTAAATGCAAATCACCCAGCATGTTCTTCACTAAACTAATGTATTATGCCCCTAATAGCACAGTGATGTCCTAGACTGGGCCACAGTATTATTGTAGCAGATCTTGACTCGGGTCATGTAGTATTATATTCCATGTGCCTAATAACCACTCTACGTCAGTGTATACAAACAATAACAATAAACTTTTCCTACTTGCTCCCTGTTCATCCAGTAAGTATACCATTGAAAATGCTTTCTTAAATTTGTTTGATATGTGCAAAAAAAAACCCCCAAAAATCTAGAAACCAGAAATCTAGTGAGCTAATAACTTCTGGGCTCTGCCTCCGCTTCAATTTTATCAGGAGAGGGGAAGGTGTTCTGTAGACCTAACATGCTTCCTGTGCTAGAATGACAAGACTTGCTCACTGTACTGTATCTATGGGGGAGCAGCAGTTATCCTACGACAGGAAGTGTGTTACCAACAAGATCACCAGGTGTAGATAAAGTAAAAAAAAAAGGATTAAAGCAAAAATCTAAATTCAATAGCAAAGCTCTCTAATGGCTTCCTACCTGGTTCCTGAAATGCACATTTACAAATATGTTTAAGTAGCTAACATAAATGCAAATACCTGCAGGCGTTTACAAAGGGGTCTGGCTGTAGAACTACTATTCTTACTTTGCATATTGTATACATTTGGTTTTTTACTCCTATTTTTAGTCATCGCCCTTCATCTCACACACACACACACACTGTACTTCCCCATTTTTCTTATGTTGCTAGAAATTAAAAAATATATAAACCCCAAAACAAGAATGTAATATGTTCTCGTCTTCTAGTCCTTAGATGTACTCGCTGCATGTTTTATCTTTTATTATGCTTTTTCCCCTTTATTTTCATCTGGTAATTCTGCGAATAACACACTTCCTGTCCCTTTGTAGCTATACTCATTTCTCCATGCTATCTATGGAAGGAGCCATGGTTGTCAAGACTGCCTGGACTTCAAACATGCCTGCCTTTATGCATCTCCGTACCAGGGTGGATTATCGGGACTAGAAGCTTACACAAGAAAGAGAAGATTGTTTTCCCTGTACTTACTGAAAATATTCTTATCCTGACAAAAGAAAACTAATACAGCTACAACATCTGAGGCTGATGTCACACAGGCCTTTTTTTCCAATAAGATAAGCAGTTATTCTCTGTCTAATCACTAGCCTGCTTTTTCAGCGAACTGTAGCTCAGCAATTTAGTTTTAGCAGCATTTGAAGCCTGTGACACCATTGCCAGAGGCAATTGCTTTTCATTCACCTTTATGGACTTGGCAAATAAAAAACTTTGATGGAGAGTAATTTAGAGCAGAGTGCACTAGCCCAATGCTGTAGCCGTATTTTAACTTGTAGCAGAGACAAAATGCCAGTGACTCTAGCCATTAAATTGCTAGCTACAAAAAGCTGACTACAAAATCGCACATCTGACATGGACCTAAGGCAGGGGTAGACAACCTCAGCCCTCCAGCTGTTGTGGAACTAGAAGACCCATGAGGCTTTGCTGACAGCCACATGCATGACAGGATTTGTAGCTTCAGCACAGCTTGAGTGCTGAGGTTGCCTACCCCTGTGGTGAGCTGCAAAATAAAATGTATTTTGTCGTTTTTGTGTTTAAATAGGCTTTAATAGATCACAGCTTCACCCTAATCTATTTGTTTTTCAAAAGTAGACCGCCATTATGTGGTAATAAATACATGCCTTAGTCATTACTGCACTCGAGACATTAAAGTTAATAATGACTAGGCCTGCTGGGTAATTTGTTGAACATTTAAAGATCTGTTTTTATGACTACTGCCTGGGAAATGTCTAAAAATTGAACATAAGTAATGTTTTATTGTATTTTTGGTAGTTTAGCATGGTGGGTTTTTTTCTGACACATAATTGCTATACAGTTATTATATTAGTTATATCAATAAAGTCAATTCAAATAAAGGTAAATTCAGGAGTGGAGCCTTCGTGTGTAGATTACAATCTATCATCATGAGAGAATTTCTTGTTTTGACAGTACAGATGTCACATGAGTAACTATTTACGATGCAGTATTATGAAACAGCAGTCACGTAGGCAAGCCACTGGAAGGAGTTGCCTTGTTTGGTTATGTGGCTTGCTATGATGAAAGGACACTTGAATGTAGTGCACATAATTTGCTTGTAATTTTAGAAGTACATATCAGCAAAAAAAAAAATGCTTACAACTTAATAGAAAATCTCTGACTAAAAATCTTAATCTTAGAGTGACACCTAACTCAAGAGTTAAATCTTAAAAATACATTCATATACCTTAACTATAAACAAAAATGTATCCTATTCGTGTATCATTCAGCTGTAGATCCCCAAATCATCTCGGAATTGACGACACTGTCCTTCCTTCTGGGGGGTGGCTACTTTTGCTCTCCATGGGCCCAGGGGGCTGTAAAGTAGCCATCACTCCAAGCTCGCTCCTGTGATGGACTATAATCTCACATTTGTTTACTGGTTTGTACTGAGATTGTAGTCCATCACAGGAGTGAGCTTGGATCAATGGCTACTTTACAACACACACAGGTTCCATGGAGAACAAAAGTAGCCACCCTCCAGAAGGAAGGACAGTGTCAGCACCAATTCAGAGATGATTTGAGGCTCTACAGCCAAGTGATACACTAATAAAATACATTTTTGTTACTAGTTAAGGTACTTAAATGTATTTTTAACTGTGTGCCACTTTAAATGGGGCAGTTAAAAATGTTTACATTGTCAACAATTGTATTTGTTGTACAATAAGGGGTATAATAAAACGACCAATTTATTGTATAGTTAGTATATAGGATGGAATTGAAATCTTCATTAACTGGATCTGTGGACAGAAGTCAGCTATTTCTCCCTATATTCACACCTTCATCATAATCGTCTGCGGTTCTCATAAGCCTGTGAAAGGTTTACTGGAACTGTCATATAGGTTAACTTGTAGTTCAGGTTTATCAATCCTTTAATACTTGTACATGTCTGGTGCACTTATATAAGGGTTAGACAAATCCCAGGAGCCAGATCGCCAATGCTCCTTAAAATCTACAGCTGGTGCCTTACTTTTGCGATTTCCTCTAGTCGTTAATGGAGCTGGATCCTAAAATAATCCTTCTGGTTCCCGGACTGGACAGACAGGCTCCTGAGTTCCATATTTATTTTGTTCACCCTTGACTTAAATGCATCTGTGGTTAGTCATAAAGGTACTGGAACTGTATGAAGTTATACATGCACTAAAGAGTATGTCTAGGCAAAACTTTTTTTTTTTAGTTTTGGATGGACTGGGTAAGGATTAGAACCCCTTTTGGCTATATAGAGGCTCCATTAGAAAAAAAAAAATGTAAATTACTGCGACGATGACAATAGTTTCACCAGATGGGAAGGTAAGATTAATCTGCAATGGACAGAAAAACAAACTGAGGTTCTTGCCTTCCCCTACTAAAAAAGTATTTTTAGTCAATCTGTTTTGTTGATATCGATTCTATTTCACTTCTTGTCTATGGAAACTGTTGTTAGGATGAACATAGATTGAACTGAAAACAGGGAATGGGGCCTAAAAATTAAGGTGGTTAGGAACTCATTTTTTGTGAAACCCTTTCTGTGATTGAATCAATGTAGATCCCATACTAGATGCAATGTTCTCAATACACTTAGTTCATGCGCAAAAGATTAATCTACAGATAGTGAACCACAATAAGTGGTAACACGTCAGAGGATAAACAAAGCACGTACCTTTGAACTGGAGATCATTTCCACACCGTCGAAGTGGAGATCATTTCTACACCGTGTTGAAGCACAACCTATCTTCCAGGGACGTTTTATCCAGAAGAACATGTAAATTATATTAAATACAAGCAGCCTATCTTCATGGTGTTATCCAACTGTGCAAACCACCCTGCATTGCTCATTGGCAACCAAAATTGTGTTGCAAAGATACCACTTTGCTATACATAAGTTTCCATCATTAAATGCATTGAGGCATTTGCACAGTAGTCAGGAAAGAGAATATTCCAGGGAATTGTTAGGTTGATGGGCCCCAATTTTATATCCTCACTTCTTAATTTATTTCCTTAGCATGGTTGGGTATCTCCTGAGATTACACTCCAGTGTATTTCCTGGCAATATGCCTTTTGTACTGAAGATATTTATGCAAAACGTGTACGTGTTTTACTCTAGCCTAATCCAGTGCATTATTCCAAATTGGCAGGTGTCTCCAATTAAACTCCAGGTTTATACAATAGATCCAGTACCAGCAGGAAGCCACGTGAATCCCCCCAAGATTCTTCTTTGCCCTGAAACAAATCAATTAGAATCCTATATAAACAAACGAAACTCTTTTTTTTTTTCTTTTTTTTTAAAATGCCAGGATAAGAAACAATTTATTATAGAGAAGAAAAATCTCTCATTTAAAATAGAAATCTGTACACCTTTGTCACAATCAATATACATGAACTGTACAAATTTACAGCAGTTCATAATTTATCAAATAAAAGAGGACTAACAAAGTTCACAAAATAGATGGTGGCTTGTGGAAAAGGACTTTTACCCAATTAAGTACAAGAAATTACAAAGCAGAACTCCACTTTCTAAAAATAAGAAGTTTACTCCGTCTTAGAAAACTACGAGCTAGGAAATGTACAGGTAAGCTGGCTGGTGAGAACGCCATAGTTCAGACAGTGTCTTTATAAGGTACATTTAAAGCCTGTAGCCAAGGCAGGAAAAAAGAAGAAACCTATGTTAACCTTTCAAGTTCATTTCACAATATGAAGGATACTCAAGTATTTTTGGGCAGACTTAATAATATTCTGTCATGTATATATACATTTATATCTATTTTCAGTGCAAGTCATGTCTGCCATGTACAGTTCCACTAAGTGTCATATTCCCAACTCTTCACCTTGCTACTGAGCTGCCAGAAATAGTAACATTGAAGACATTAGTGCAAGTTAAACTCTGCAAACAAACTGCAGAGAAGTAAATAATAATCTTACAAAGACATTGAGCTTTGGGTTCAAAGGTTTTGGATATGTACATACTCCATGTTCTGTACACATTTGTCAGCTGGCAAGGTCAGGATGAGCCCACCCATTGGTTAATGGTGCACCCCAGACTTGAGATGGTCTTTGCCCTATACCCCCAATAATGGTTAAGAATGGATAAAGATCATAGTCTATGGTAGAAAGTCACCGCTGCAGAAAATCTCTGGCTGACCGATCTCAAGGGAAGAATTGGTCATCCAACATGGATTTTCCCTGCTGATTGTTGTTCCCTCAAGATAAGGCAAGAGCCAGAAATGTCTGCCCAGTGACATAATATGCACCGTTAGACAACATCATAGAGATCACTGAACTCCAAGACACTGCCCCATTTAAAGCCCTAACCATAAGTGGGAAAACAAAACCTGACACTGCCTGATGACAAACGTATGCCCAATCCAAAGTATGCACATAGCCTAATATAGATATTATCACTGACTAAATGTCTAGTGCCAAAAAAATGTTGCCTTCTACATACAGGCTGTTAAACTACTAAAAGGTACTGTCCAAACCATGGCACATTCACATCAGTAAGATCTACTTCTATTTTGTGCCCAATCTTCACAGCTGTGACATTTTATACTTCACAATCCTTCCCCATAGGAGCCCTCCCAAATTAAAGACAATATTATTCCATCTGTTACAAGATGATCCAGCCATCGACTGTATCTTAACCAGATACTGTCATCATATTGTACGTTTTGGAAGGGCTTGTTCGGCCAAGGAGAAGTTCATCTTTGCAGCTGATTCTGCTTTCGACAAGAGACGAGCTGCCATTTTGGCTACTGCCACCTGTTGGTAAGGATTCGTAGAGCACACATATGGACCCATCCTCTCCAATGCGATAAGACACTTCATATGGATCAATCCACAAAGTGAGTTCACTTGGCAGAAGTTTAAACATTTCTTGGCTGCTCAGTCCGATACGGTCTGCTGCTTGCCCAATCAAGGGATCCATTTTGTGGTTAATCCGAATGCAGCGGTAAGCTGAACCTTTGGTGGGTTTCTCTGGAAACCAGTGATGTCTGTAATGATCTACAAATGGAAATGGAAAAAGCAAAAAAACGTATTTACATACACTCCCAAGAAACATTAATGCATAAAAATCATCTACACAAATAATGCAAAAGATTAGTTTGACAAACTTTGTTGAGTGCAATCATTTTCAAATCGAAAATATAGGAAATAATACATCTGCATACCTAGTGCAATATTTAGGAAATCCTCAATATGAATGAAGTGTCTTTTCCCTAATGTATTTTTATGGCAAAAAGGATCTTTGAAAGACAAAATTGATGCTAGCATTAGTCTTTTTTTTCCATTATGTACCACCTACTAAATCTACAAAGCAGCTGAAGACTTATCGATCCATATGGAAATTGGTCTTTTTCATTTTTTTCCCCCCATTCTGAGCAATCCCTAGGCTTGAATTAATAAGAG